GACGTTACTACCGTCGGCAGATGCATAAAGGAAGGAAATGGCGAACATGAGGGTAAATGTGACCTTCTATTTGGATTTTACACTAATTGTAATAAGGAAGCCTTATACACATGAGGACTCTCGACTGTGAGGAAGTGGTGAACATGTACGATTAATGCACTGATAATGTATTTTTGTAATGTTCAAGCTGCAATTGTAGTTTTTTTATTAAAAAAGATTTGCATTACGCTATTTATTGCCGCAGGCCCAGAAAATAGGTTTATATGATATTGTCGGGTTCCCTGGGGACAAGTGACGTTACCGTCGCTAGATCGATCAGGAAGAGCAGCCAAGTGGATTGACGTTTATAAGTGTACTGTAGCCGACACCAATTCGTAGAAGACCTACTATAGATGCAGCCATTACCGTGGAATTCACTGTAAGGGACGTGTCAGTATCTGCACGCATTCGATCTTACGAAGCTCGTCCGCGTACCTGTGGACATTCAGCAAACCCGATTGACAATAGTGCTCTGGGCACATATACCGAGAACAATGTGACAGAAGCTATGACTAGAGAGGTTGATCGTCTTGCTGTTTCAACAGCGGCTACCCCTATGGTAATTTGGGAATATCAAGCGAATCTAATTCTACGGAGGTCCGAGAACGAATCGATCGTTCACAGTACTTGCAATGGAAGCGGTTAGGCGACGAATCAATCGAACTAGGTCTGAGGCGTTTGGTGGCTCTGTGTACAGTCAAGTTGAAGTATCGCTGTGGTCGCAATGCAAAATGATGATGGTACTATTGTCGACGCAAACTTCCTTCAATTTTACAACTCGTGGCTCGACAAAACGACAAAGAAGCGGCAGCGGTTTATTGGATGGGCCCACCCAATTTTACTCAACATGCTCAAGCATAAAAGACTGATGTCTTCGTTGATGAAACCTTCCGATGTGTACCACCAACTTTCAAACAATGCGTCGCTTTCACTACATACGGCATGCCTACTTGCAGCTAATATCCGATTTGCTTTATTCTTTACACGACCAAGAAATACGAGACGTTTTTTCATGCCATGCGTTTGGTACATGATGAGACTGAAAGCGCATTGGACCCAGCGTTCATTCACTGTGACTCCGAAGCAGGTTTCATTCGCGACACCACAGATCAATTTTCCAACGCCACTCCAATCGGATGTCTATTTCATTTAAGAAGGCGTTCCGAAGAAAAATGAACGAGAACGGAATTCCAGACCAACAGGGCAAGTTCGTCATGGCTTCTAGAGCTCTCGATGTGTTGATTGTACCCCCCCAGCATAAAGTTAAGAAAGCAGGGTATCAAATTTTGAACCATTCAATGGGTCAAGGAAAAACTTGCAGTTGGATGTGAAAAGCTCGGGATTGGACTCTCAAATAAAAAGCATATGCGATTTTTGAAATATTTTGCAAGGACTTGGATTGTAACTTTTCCGCCACTGCTTTGGAACGTCGAGCCTCACCCTAAAACGACTATAAGCCGGAGCAACAATTCGTTCGAGAGATTTAACCGCAAAATGAGCGCGGCTTTTCCAAAACACCACTCGAGCTTGCTAGATGGTGTAGTGGGCTTGGAGTAATTGACTCCACGATGCGTGAAGCTGAAGGCTGACGCTGAGCATGGTATAGCTCAAGCACCTACACGTCTCTCGGTTATGTTACCTAAACCTTTTGCGCTCTCTGACGAGGGATTCAGCTCCGATACTGTAGTGAAGGCTAATCAAGCCATGGATAGGAATAACCTGTTCTGCGTCCTGATCTATGAGATGGCATAGTACAGGGTCGTCTTGGAGAAATATCCGCTCATGTGGGTGAATTTGGTCGAATGCAAGAAACGAGTGCCTATTTCGATGAATTGTCGTACAAAACATCTGTAGAATGAGGATACAGGTCAGTTAATAGTGTATCTAACTACTTAGAAATTAAAATATGAATAAAAGTAATTAATTAATTTGAAGCATGCTCAGATTTGTTTCATACTTTCCCAAAATACGTACCGCCTTCTTCTCCAATGCAGATTTCTCAGGTTACAGAAACTCCTACTTGGTACTGATGCAGCTGCGGCAAATGTACTGAATGTGGAGAACTTCACGCCCAACGTGAGCCAAGCGGTCCAAGAGCTGAGAGTATTGCTCCTGGACATGCACCACGGTGCTACTACAGCAAAGAAAAAGCAAACCGAGCGCAACAAAAAAATCAACGAAGTGAAAGAGCGGTGAATTTCCATGTTGGAAATTTTGTTTTGTGGTCCCGAGTCGTCGCAAAAAAGCAAGGCAACAAATTATCCGTGACGTGGGTGGGACAATACCGTGTAATTAGCGCAAATGCCAACTCGTTCGAAATCGAACACTTGATCACTGCGAACACGAAACTGGTCCATGCTTCACGTTTCAAACTGTAGGCAGATGAAAGTTTTGATGTCAATGAAGATCTTTTGGAGCACATTATGTATACATCACTGTGGAGGCATTCACGGAACACCGCAAGTATCTGACGCATGCTTTCGAGATGTTGGGTCACTGGGAAGGCCTTGAGCCTATGGAGGGTCTCTTGGGAACCTGTAAAGAACATGTTCGAGGATGTTCCTCTCAAGTTGCAACAATATGTGAGCACTGCCGGGGATGCTGGATTGAGTCGCTTCGCTCTCAACTTACGACCAGAGCGTCCACTCAGAAACAAACGAGCCAAACAACAGAACAACGAGCTGCACGACAAAAGCTAACAAGCACCGACCGTCGTCGGCGTACGGCTAAGGCCAACAGAAAGGCGTAGGACATCTCATGATTGGTTGGCTGCATGCGACTGTCTGCTTGGAGGGCGGTGTAGTAATTTCCTTGATGGAATCAGCTCTCAGCAGACACTTTTCAAATAAGTTACAGATGGCAGAGGGGTTACCGACAACAGGCGAGAAGCATGAGATCATGTCGTGCTCTCAAGAATTGTATACTGCATAGTCAAGGAGGCATTTAGCATAGCGAAACTAACAGAAACCAATACGGCAGCCGCCGTAGCACTGCATTTAATAACAGAATTCTTTTCACCTCCAAATACACGAGTGGGCTCTCAACTAGCAAGCATTTAGGGTCGCAAGACACTACAGCGAGCATGGCTTCTAATGACAATGGGAAGATGTCGGTATTCTTAAACGACTTTGTTATAGTGTCGAAAGTCACGGCCCCTTTGAGCTCCTCGTTTTGCGATATTTGATGCCTCCTCGCCAGTCTTCTCAAGCTAATCTTGCGAGATCTTACTTAGTAGCGTGCGGCCGGCCGAATAGATTTGGGAAATACGATATTAGGTTTTCGTAGATTTTCTTCAGTTATATAGATACGACATCATCAAGAGGCTGTGTAAAATGACTAGTGTGAGCCGGGAGCACAAATATGTCAATTTTGTGTGATCTCGCGTAGTTCAAACCCGGTCCGTTTACATCGAGAATGAGAAGAACTGGACGCAGCACGTTTTTAGCAAATATTTGAGTGTCAAAATATTGCAACCAGTGTAGAAAGAAACCCCGTTTATATTTGATGTCTCGGTCACGAAGCACGTCGAGCCATCTAAGAAGCCAAGCATTCTCTCCGGTTGGCGTCGCTTTACCGGGAAAATGTGCATTGGTGGGATCTGATCTCCGGATGCACTCACACACACACCATCAGTGACATGTTGTCACGGTCGCTAGACCGCAATATATTTGCTCGCTTTCCCTTAGAACAAATAACACGAGGTGTCTTGCATCCTTGGGGGCAAAACCCCGTCTCATCGCAATTCCAAATCGGATCAGCAGTTAGTCCCTGTATTGCCACCTGTAGAAAGAGCGAATCCTTTTAACAGTTGACATTTGATCTCCAACCGTTTCCTGACCGACCTTTCCTTGTGACGCTTGACAAACTTCAAAGGCCATTTAGCGTTGGAAAACGTCGGTGACAGCGACTGTATATTGCGCTTTGCGATTTCGCGGGCTAGAGGACGAAGCCCGTTATCGGTCATGCATATTCTACGTCTTGAACGAAAGAAAACGACCTCGACTATCCCTTCTTCATCTTCTCGGGATAGGAGGGGTGCACGTCCTGGTTTGGCATCGATCCGGACTTAGCCCGTCACCCGGCGATGAAGAGCACTTCTTAAAACGTTATAGCTGGTTGAATCGTTCGTTAGAGAGCCTTCTTCCTCTCTTACAAGACGAATAGCACCCACGAAGCTCTGCTGCAGTGACGTGGACTCCATAGCACTGAAACTTGACTTGATCGGCTGTTCAAGAGGGATTATATGAGTTTGAGAATGGCTGAGGTTTAGATGGCTACCCCTGCTCTAATTCGCTTTTGTTTGGAATGCGGTAAAAGGGAGAGGAATTTCAACTCTTTCCTTAACCGTTCTGATAAAAAAGTATTTCCCGAAAACGCATTTGAACGACTACAGCCCCTTTTTAAAAATGTGTCTTATAATAGATTACCGTCGTTTGAGTTCCGTTTCGATTTGAGTCCGTTGGGGATAGTATTTGTCGAGCACAAACTCCGCTCAGAAACTGAAATCTTATACCCTCGCAAACGCGGTCCTACTATTGGTACTATTTTAGTTAGAAATTACGAGATTATAATGATTTGCAAAATAATAACCTAAACTTACTTACTTGATAGCCGTTGGGATCTTATAAGGTTAACCCTTTTAGTTTCTGAGCGGAGTCTAAAATTGTACTGGTAGCAGATTTGCAGGTCCGGTATAGTACCGGTAGTAGAACAACTATTTAAGTACCGGTGGTAGTACTGGTAGCTGCCAATTCAACAATAAAAAACCAGTAGCATTAATTGATAAATTCTTTTAAGTAAACGGCTACACTATTATTACAGTTTTTGTCTTAACATTATTGTTGAAAGACACATTTGCTCATTCTTGCCATTTCAACATCCTTCTCACCCGAGATGATGTTTTACGCGATGCATTTAGCGCACACCACTCGTCAATTTGCAGCAGAGCACAGAATCCGAAGATGATGATGACCTCGCAATCATTTCCAGTGGGCAAATACGCGCGATACAAGCGTGCCACCGCCTTCTTTCTTAATTGGCTGGCGCGTGCTGGAAGAAGAGAACGAGGTGGCAATAACTTGCAGCTCGAGACGTTCAACGACGTGGTCGAGGAGATCCTAGCGAATCCGTCGACTCTCACAACAGAGCTTCTGCAAGAGTGCTCAAAGGCGCTCGCAGCCTGTCAATACGCAATAGAATTGCGCGAACATGTGGCCTCATTCTTCTCTGAGCACGATGAAGGGCAAGCTAGCCACCAGCATTTCGTAGAACTACTGCGTAACTGGCACAGGGCTTTGAAGAGCGTTGTAATGGGACGATCAAAAACTATTGTGCAGTTGGAAATTTCTGAGCGGGAGAATTATTACGAAGTGCTGGAAGTGGATGACGAGTACTTGCCGGACGAAGACTCGTTCTCGACAGCAAAACAACTTCCCAAGGCTACAAAGGTCGATAGGAATCCTGTGCTTCAGGAGGCATTTGCAGATGGAATGAAGGTTGAAGTGGTTTGCTTTTTCTCGGAGTTGGACGAATTGATGCAAGGTGTCTGTAAAGCTTACGGAGAAGTGAAGAGAGAGGAGCGCACGTTGGTTGAGGCTACGGTGGTGGCGAAGCTAGCAATGGACTCTGCTAGTGCGCTCACGGCTCAACTGCAACTGAAATATCCGGCACTGCGCACGAGTGAAGACATGTACAACGTCGTTCGGAATATTGACCCGGTGAAATTCAGGCATCGAATGGCAACAATACACACCAAGTATTTGACAGATCTACAGGACTCGCTGCTCAATGGTGACGGAGCGGTGCCATACGTTCCTGGAATGTTTCTGATGGATTTCCTGGGTGTGGGAACTACCTTGGCCAGCTTTCTCACTGCTCTACCCATCGATACTACGAAGAGCCTAGAGGTCCCAACTGGCTGCTTTGGTGAAGTATACAGTGAAGATCGGACACCACACTACGTACTGCTACCAGATCCCAGCAAGATGAATGTTTTCCTACTACAGCAGTTGCCGCTCCTGCATAAAACGATAATGGAGAAGAAGGTTACTACCGGATCCGGACACGATTCGTCTGCACCCATGGAATCATTCATGGTGCTTATGGAGAAATACTTCACTTGTCGAGAGGTTACAGTCCCAGTAGTGTTCACGTGTATCTGTTGGATAAAATCCGTTGCAGCATTACAAGGAGATGTAGGACTAGGTCGCAACGTTAGCCTGACCTTCAGGCACTCGACAGAGCTGATGAGAAACATTAAGGAAACTGTGGCAAAGGGTACAGTTCGGAAGGCTCACAATAAATCCAACAACTTGCTTCAGCTTTGCGCAGACGAGATCAAACGATCAACTGGGCGTCGCTATTTGTCGCGTGCGAATCCGTTGCTGGCAGGGCTCACAATGCTGGATCATCACTTCAAGTACTTGCACATGGCGAGCGAAATTCTGCTGGTTACGTCAAGATTTCGGTCTTTTGGTCACGTCTACAATGCCCTTGTGAAAGAAGGGTATCTCGAGCAGATTTCGTCCTTGGACGATCTACTGGAAGTCTACAGCGAGATGATCTTTACGCCATCTCGAGATGCTGCTACGCGTGGTTCGTATTATCGTACTCTGCTGCTAAGTGTCGACTTGAGATCGGCCTCAGTCGATGCGTTGTGCCGCGGTGAAGGTTTACCAGCTGGAAACGAAAAGTTTAAGAAACGAAAGGTGCTTCACCTGAGTGACGTGTCCGATACTTACCGACTGATGGTTAGGAACGACAAATCAGGCTTAAATCGTTCCTCTTGGGCGTCAATCCTGGACGACGCTGCGAACATTTGTTCAAAAGAGCTGTCTCAAACTCGTGTGCTGTCACGCGATCTCCTGAAACTGAACGACGAACTCGCGAATGTGTACGTTGAACTGTGTGCTGAGTTGAAAGAGGGAGACTGGTATGGCCAAACGATCACCGACACTGGGGCTGATCTGATTGAGCAGCAGAAAATGGAAGACGGGGTGATTATGATTTTACTCCAGCTCCTCGACGGATTGCAGAGTGATCATGGGGGTCCTGACTTTGGAGGGCCGGTGGATATGTGCAAGAAGGCTGCCGCTGTGATCAGAAAAACATTTTCAACCTCATCGACGGTCAGGAGTGAAAAGATCTTTACGATTCTGTCTCGTCCAGATTTTATTTCTCAAGAATTTGACTTGAAGTCAGACAAGTCAAGGGTTGAGAATGACAATTGTGAGCAAATTTTCTTCAAACTTATGAAGTTGCTTCAAGGCAGTAATGGTCCACTTTCTAAAAGCGATCGCAGCTTCATCAAGGCGGAAATCAAGAAGAATTCTGGACTGTTGGGTATGATTGAACCGACTCCGGCATGTCTTGACACCGTTGAGGACAGTACCAATGCGCTAGACGATAACAGGCTTTGCACTTTACTTCATCAAGCCGCGGCAGGATCAGCACACGATGCTGAATTGGTGGAGTGGATGATTCAGATGGGAGCCCTAGTTCTTCAACCGACTTTTCACGGTCAAAAGCAACCGCAACAGAACGATGTCACGTGCTCCAAAGTACTTTTGTCCAACGCAATGGCTGTGCACAGTGCAGCACGTGCAGGATACGGAGACATCGTCCAGATTCTTCTCGAAGCAGACCAGTTTGCGGATCTAAATACGCCTACACTCCACACAAAAGAAACACTTGCGCACTTGGCTGTTAAGCATGGGCATCGACGTTTGTTCAACACTCTGGTTTGGTTTGGAGCTGATCTTCTCGCTAAAGACCGAGGCGGGAGATGTGCGTGTGCTATGACTGCTGACGCAGATTGGGCTCGTGTTATCGCTGCATACTCTGTGCGACTTGGTAGAACGCCTTTCAACAGCGTTGGCAAGCGTGATGATTGTTTAGAGGAGACAGAACGACGGCGTAAATTAGCAGCTATTCAGAGCGATGAACAAGACTTAATAAGTACACCTGGGTGCACCAGTCCCAACATTCAGAAGAGGTCAAGGAAACGCTCAAGCAAAAAGAAGATGAGAAGTGGCAAGACGAGTGTTGTGGAAGCAACTCCGTCTGCCTCTGGAGGTTGCCCACTCTTGGATCCAACGGCACGTTCATTGCATTACTCTCACACATCGGCACATCTTGGCACCCGTTGCTATTGAAGTCGTGGATTAAATGATGTGATTGTTTTGGTTTTTTAAAAAAAAGGTGTGGTACACAGAAGTTGCAGTTGAATGGGTTGAAGAAACTCGAAGAAGTGTTTCACCCGAAAGACATTTCTGGCGGGCAAGTACGCGCAGTACAAGCGGCCCCACAACCTTCTTTCTGGACATGCTGCTGCGTGCACACGGTAAAGGCCGGCACGCTGGCCAGCGTGTGCAGCTAGAGGCGCTTAATGATGTGGTGAAGGAAACCGCAGCGGACCCGTCGACATTCGTCTACATCTCTACGGAGAAGACCGAACGCCACGTTATGTCTTGATGCCAGATACCAACAATGACAGATTTTTTTTTCTCATGCAACAGTTGCCACTGCTGTATAACGCTCTCGCTGATAGAAAGGTGGCTGTACGGCTGGGACGCGACTTGGCTCCGTTGGGCCCGTTCATGGCGATCATGGATACGTTCTTCAAGACGCGAGAGGTGACACTCCCAGTGGCGTTTGCGTGCATCTGTTGGATGAAATTTGTGGCTGCTTTGCAAGGACGTCGAGGTCTCGGTCGCAACGTCAGTCTCACGTTCCAGCACTCGAAGGACTTGCAGAAGCGGATCGAAGAGGCAGTGGAACACAGGAAGGCGTTGCTAGCTTACAACAAAGCCAATAGTCTTCTGGAGCGCTGCACTGGAGAGATCAAACACTTTGTGCCGCTTTACCACATTGCGCGTGCGAACCCTCTGTTCGCGGGTCTTACGGCGCTAAATCATCAGTTCCAGTACTTACACATCGCGAACGAAGTCCTGTTTGCCACGTCGAAGCTCCGCGCATTCGGTCATTTGTACAACGCGCTGGTGCAGGAAGGACATCTGGAGCGGAATCCTTTTTTCGACGATGTGTACGATGTATACGGTCAAGAAGTCTTTGCTCCTTCTCGAGCTGCGGCGATACACGGTGCTTACTATCGTACGTATCTGATTAGCTCGAATCTACGCGTTAATCTGATCGAAGCAGTGTATCGCGGCGAGGAGCTGCCTGCCCCGAGTGAAGCTTATAAGAAAAAGAAGGCGTTCCACTTGAGTGATGTCTCGGAGATATTCCGACTGAGTAGGCTGAACGACAAGTCCATTTTGAAGGGTGGATCATGGAAGGATATGCTGGAAGACGTGGCAAACCTTTGCTCGAGAGAATTATTTGAGACGCGCGTGCTGTCTCGTGATTTACTGAAGCTGAACGAAGATCTCACAGATCTGTTTCCCGAGTTGGTCCGAGTGCTGGGACAGCATAATTGCTTCAGTAGCATCATGGACAACTCGGTAGCTGGGGAGTCTCGTCAGCAGAGATTAAGTCGGGCTTTGGAAGAATCGGTGATGAGGAAGGCGATGCCGCTGCCCTGGACGCCTTGCAGTCAGACGGGTCGATTGATATCAGCGCAATACCAGGTGCAATGTCTGCTACAGTGGCTATGGATGCCTTGCTTGGCAAGAAGCTGTGCAGTGAGATTGCTGCTGTGATCAACGCTAAATTCTCGACTACGTCTGAAGTCTGTGAACAGATATACTTTACGTATTTAGCTCAGCCAGACTTTGTCACCCAGGAGTATGGAGGTCCAGACCCAGACACGAGGAGAGATGATTCCGAGCAAGTGTTTGAAGATTTGATGAAGCTGCTGCGAGAAAGCGATGGTCCACTAAGTGCAAGCGATCTGAGCTACTTAAAGGCAGAGCTCAAGAAGGATCCGAACTTATTGGGATTGATCTCGAGTGATCCAGACCCACACGATGCTACAAAGTATCGCGAACTCTGTAGCCTGCTTCTGCTGCTGATCTGGTCGACTGGATGATTCAAATGGGAGCTCTCATCATTTAGCCAACGCTGCACTGCCGGGAGGAGGCTCAGCTAAAGGATTTGAAAACCCCTCGCTGGATGTACCCTAACACAATGGCTGTACACAACGCTGCAATAGCGGGCCATGAAGACATCGTTCGCGTTATCCCCGACAACATGATGGATATGAATATTCCCACCTTTCACACGAAGGAAACTCTTGCGCATTTGGCTGTCAAGAACGGCCACAAGGATTTGTTTAACATCCTACGGGCATTTGGACTCCAAATTGGAGCCGATCTTCGGATCAAAGACGGAAAAGGACAAAGTGTGAGTGATGTAGCCATCGATAGGGAGTGGGCGCGCGAGATTGCTGCACTCACAGCCGAATATTTCGCAAAGATTTCTGGCGAGGCGAGAAGAAGCGATGCCATTTTGCCTCCGCAGATTACTCCTCGCACAGTACACAGGTCAACGCTAGCTGCAGAATACGTGGGCTCCCATGAAACGGGAGCCCACGAGGGCAAAGAGCAACAAAATGAAGGACAAATACAGCAAGAGATGGCCCCCCCAAATGAAGAATGAATGGTTGCTGCAGCGGCTGAACTAACTGACGACGTGATCGACACAAAGCGGGTGCTGATACGTTTGATGCAGATTTGATGGCTTTGACATTAACGAGAATATGGAATTGGAGAGTGTGACTGTGCTTAGGGACAAGCTCAGAAAACTGGCGGTGTCAATTATTACTCGGCTGGGTAATCCTTTTGGAGACAAGACAGACGATGATTACAACGCCCGTAAACTGGTTCAAGATATGGAGGACGATGTCGCGTCGTATTCGCAGCCCAGCAACCCAAACTCGACCCGCTTTCATGTCCGAGTCGTCATTTGCTCCGAGGCTGCGTACTGCCTTCACTTGATGTAAAAGCTGAGTCGAGTTGACCACACCGCGGTCACTGATGCTGCTCTCGCTCCGGTTCTAGACTCTGCGATACGACCTGCCTACGCTGATTTTGTGATCGGTACAACCAAACTCTGCGTCTCGGTTGACAGAAAACCATAAGCTCGTGAAATTATGGATGTACTGGAGAAGCGTCTGCTGAAGATTCCACTCGCTGAACGCGAACCATCCGAGTTCCGAGAGTTCGTACAGACGTACTCGACTGCTCGCGACTCAATGTGCTTGGGTCAGGCGTCGAGTCTTAAAACTTTTAGTCGTTTGGAATGGTACTTGGCCAACACTGTGGAAGATTACGAGCAACAGTTGGTTCTGGATGGGATGGTAGGTCGCCCGTTCTACTTCGAATACAGGCTGACCACTGAATCAAGCAAACCGGACGTTGCTCGTCTGATGATTGGTATTATAATTATCCCGGATATCGGAGACGTTGTGGCCTTGCTTACTGACATGCGTGTTATATAAAGCTGATGTGGCAAGTGTTCGCGACATGGTATTCAGATAGCAAAAGCTCACTTTGGCGAGCAGAGCTTGAAGCACTTCTGCCCACGTCGGAGATTTCGTGTTTTTCGAATTATGGGTCACCCGGACCTGCTCTAAATTATCAACAAAAGCACATACTACAGAAGTGGCATTATATTATTCATGTTGCAGTAGTATCACAGCTAAAAATGATCGAACACCGCATCGAATTTCGTCGTTGCGTACTTCCGTTTTTTTAAAGATTGAGCAAAATGCTCTATTTAACGAGGTAGAATGCCAAAATTTCCTTTCTAACCCAAGAAGCCCTCTTCCTTTACGAGGTCAGAAAAGAACCCCCCGCGGTTGTTAAGTAGATTCTGCGGAGTATCAAACTCTACGACAGTGCCTTGGCTGAGTACCATGACTCGGTCTAGCTCAAGCACAGTAGTCAGACGATGGGCAATAGTTATTACCGTAGTGTCTTGTAAGTTCTGACGCAGCATCTTCTGCAAGTTTTGCTCGGTGTCATGATCAATTGAGGAAGTTGCTTCATCCATCACCACAATCCGACTGCATTTTAACACCGCTCGAGCTAAACACAGTAATTGCCGCTCTCCGACGCTAAAGGTGCCTGCGTTCTCGCCCAACTCGAACTCCAGCTGGTTCTCGATATTTCTAATCTTTGATTTCATACCAACCTTATCGATGGCCACCCAAATAGCTTCATCCGTGAGCTGGTCAAAAGGGTCGAGGTAGTCTCTAAGAGGCTCATTGAATAAAACTGGTACCTGAGGAATAATTGACATCCCAGCTCGAAGCTTCCGTACCGAAATCGTGGAGATGTCAATTCCATCGATGCAAATCTGCCCGGACACTAACTCGTTGATCCGAAAAAGCGCCATGCTCAAGCTAGATTTACCAGCCCCTGTTCGTCCGACGATGCCAACTTTTTCATTGTTCCCGATCGTGAACGACACATTCTTCAATATGAGATCTCCTCGCTCGTAGCTGAAGTTGACATTCTGAAAGGTGATAACCCCACGAAGAGGCCAATCAATCGCTGGTTCAATCTCAACAAGCATGTTGCTACCTTCTGGGGCAATTGACGCGTACTCCATAACACGTTCTGGGCTCACCATAATGAGCTCCACGAACGACCACTGGCGAGCAATATTCGCCAGACCCGCGTCAACGTTGAGCGCGTACGTGAAGGCCAACCCTATGAATCCAGGAGGCAAGAGGTCGCGGAGATATACCAGGGCAGACACGATGCCAATCACAACAGCACAGCCGATAAGCTGAATGCGCACAATGTACCACATCTCGCTCACGGTCTGAATGTACGACACCTTGATCAATGAGTTGGAACATCTTGTCGGCCATTTGAGAAACGCAGTCCGGACCAAATGCTCTGATTACCTGCAAACCTTCTTCACACTGCTTCACATGGCTCAGCACAGGAGAGGACACCAAGCGTTGCAGTCGCGTAATCTCGCTACACGATGCCAAGTAGAAATTCGCCACCTTCACGTACATCCAAGCCAGCGGGACCACCAGAATGCCGAGAAAGTTCACCACGTAGGCTGCGGTTACTAGCTGGCATACGGCGAGAAAGAAATCAGCGAGAAACGCACCGCTGATCAAAGGCAGCTGAAAATCGATCGAGCCAATATCCGTCGTATAGCGATTCACAATTCTTCCAATGGGATTAGTATCGAAGAATTTCATTGGAGCGTGCATTAGCGCGTCTGTCATAGCGCCAAAGAGGTACCGAGCGCCACGCAGTCCAGCAAACACTACACACACTGAGCGTAGCAATACCATTAATACCCCTCCTCCACCTAGAAGAGCGTATACCTCCATATTCGTCTCGTTATCGGCAACAGAAGCTTCACTTGTCCAGTGGCTCAACCAGAAATCGCTCCCAATCTGAAAAGCTTGCCACAGTAGCTGCGATACGACCACCAGCACACACATTTTCGCCCCGCCTAGCGCTTTGAAGTAGATCCAAAACACGTCACTAGTAACTCGTCCTTGTTGTCGCTCCTCATCCACTACAAAACGCCCACTGGATACTTGGATATCAGCGACAATGCTGGTCTTATCCATGGAGCAACGCTTTGCGTACTTACTGCGATGGATCTGGTTCGCTAGTCGTTCTCCATGCACAGTGCCGTCTTCTACCCTCACAATGTAGTTAACCGCTGGAGATCGAATCACATCGCGGCTATGAGTTACCAGGAGAACTGTCTTGTCTCCAAGTAAACCACAAATACACTTGCCAAAGATCTCATTTCGAACAGCAGCATCAACAGCGGCCAAAGGGGAATCCAGTTTATACACGTCTGCGTCAGCGTAGCAAGCGCGAGCCAGGCTAACACGAGCTTTCTGGCCACCAGACAAGTTGACTCCTTTTTCTCCGATTTCAGTCAAGTCTCCACTTGGAAAGTGCTTCATATCCGCCACAAGCCCACAAGCCTCCAGCACTTTTCCATACTTGGCTTCATCGAACTCGTGTCCAAACAGAATATTGTCACGAATGGACAAGTTCTGGATCCACGGCTGCTGTGAGTAGTAGGCCACTTTCCCACGAACAAAAACACGTCCGTCGATTCTTTGCATTTCTCCTAGTAGAGCGTAGCACAACGAACTCGTGCCCGAGCCCACCGCGCCATGGACAACCGCTAGATCCCCTCGCTTGATCTGGAAGTTTACATCGTTTAAAACCGTCGTATCGGTATTCCATCCCAATGTACCGTTCTGCACGTCGATAGCAACACCCTCTTCTTGTGTGGGATCTACACGAAGGATACTTGTGCTGTTAAAGTCACTCTTTTTTCTGTAGATAACCTGCTATCCGTTCCAGCGAGACATTGGCTTGAAAACATGCTTGAATAACGCAGGGAAGTTCTTGCAGAGGCGAGCGGAGCGCATTGAATAAAGCTAGAGCCGTGAATACTTTTGCAGCTGTGAGAGTCTCTCCTAATCCAATCGAGTAGACTGCGAGCGACACAACCGATACCAGCAAGGGAGATGTCGATACAACTATGTCCTCGATCGAGTAAATCAACATTAGGGACTTCAAAGCCTTCACTTCGGTTGATCGGCAATCCTCTATACGTTGAGAGAATTTCTTCTCCCACACGTTGAGTTTTACGACTTGAATACCACCAAATACCTCCTGGATGACCTTCATTCGGCGGTCACGTTGTGCATCAGTTTCATAAACCCACCCGCGGCCATTTTGCCAACAATCATTCCTAGAAGCGAGCAAAGCACGATCAAAGCCAGCCCTGCAAAAGCTGCAAGACCAATAACCCAGTACAACATGTACACAATTGCACCAATCTGAAGAGGAAGCACCCACGTAGAGTTGATGTACTGGATCATAATCGTGATGTTACCCATGTCTGAAGTAAACAGGTTCATAATCTCGACAGAGCTGGAGCTGGAGGAAGAACTGCGAAGAGACTTTAGAAACAGAAACGCTCTAATGGCCGACGTAGCTCGAAGTCCAATGATTTGAACATAATACTCCAAATGCGCCGACAGTAGAGCATTCAGTAGACGTGACGCAAAGAAGAGCCCCAACCAGATACACAAGTCGTGTAAGTCCGTCTGCGGTGCAGTAAAGGCTTCAAGCACATGATGCAGCACTACTGGTGCAGCCAGTTCACAGGCTGCAGACGCAATGGAAGCCAAACCACACATGGCCAGCTCCAGTCCGTAACAGCGAAGCACAGCACGCAGCAACAATCCCCCTGAATTCTCATATTGTCTCGTGAGCTTGGTTAGTGCCGTCCGCGTTTGATTCTCGAGATCAAGTTCCCAGATATCTTTTTCAGCTAGCTGTCGTTCATCATCAAGGGTTCAGCAAAGGAAAAGAGCAAACGAGAAGACCATGATATAGTGAGTGTGCCATTGCGCGGGCCTGGACGATCGGTTGGCTCGGGATTGATAAACGTTGCATAGCTTAGCGAAGCTTGATGGGTGTTTCCGAGGAGCGAGGGCATGTTCCTCGCAAGGGGGGTTCAGTACATGTACTGTTGCAAATGCGGCGGTTGGTGTGACTTACCGTCATTCCGATGGGTTGTTACTTTGTGGATTTTTTAATCATGAATTTTAAACTTTCTTAAAAGGGTTAACACGAAAGGGTTAAAACGATGTTGAAGTTTTGACAAGAGAGAGTCTTATGTGATGGGTCAAACGTCTCGTAGGACGTGACAATGCTGGGTTGGTATCCGCCATGGTTTGTCGGATAGCGATCTGTTGGGCATCACCTCTGACTCAGCGTGACTCGTATGATCACGTCAGCTGTGAAAGTTCCAGTAGATAAGATGTTGGAGTAGTGCGCCAATTTTATTTAATATATTTAGGCTGCAGCAAGGACAAACTTTATCACTTATGGATTCTCCTTCTCCTTGCCAAGGACGGCAACCAAGATCCCGGAGCTGTGGTCCCGCTAGACAGCGTTCACCTTCCTTTTATATCAGCTTCAGAACGAGCAAACGTCAGGTTATGAGTCCAAACAAAGTCTCTCTTCGTGTCCAAGGCTTTTCAAGGAAGGTGTTCAAGCTGAACCGCTAACTTGCAAGGGGAGCAGCAGTGATGACGGAGACAGCGTCAGTGGAGCTGCGTCGGAGCTTCCAGGCTCGCCACCGTCGTCACCATTGTCCGATGGCTCTGCGAGCTCTGCGCATTCGGATTTCTCGTTGGACGGCAGTGCGTCTGAATCAAGTACAAGTAGATCGGAAAGGCGAAGCAGCTCTTAGCGAAAGCGTGCTAGCAAGAAGAAGCGCTCCAGTAAGGATAAGCGTAGTGAGGCCGTAATTAGGGACACCCCAGCCCTGGAAGTGTCCATGCTCACTGGTACTCAAGGTACAATAACTGTGGTCTTTAGTGACCGAAGAAGTGGTTCAAGACCGTTCCTAAAACTCTGTCAAGAAGCGTCACTGGAATGATCGCTGACTCAAGGCTCAAGCTGTCATCGCCGGCTCGTTCGGCCCGCGTCTAGCCGACCGGTACAGGCGACTGCTTGTGAGCTATGATCCTGTGCAATAATTATAAGAGATTGAGAAAGAAATCAACACTGGAAGCGCCGCCAGGAACGCCATCCTGATCAAGGCTCCGATGTTTGCGCGGAACTGGCTAAATATGAGCGTGTTGACACGTACCTTGACGCTGTTATGCGGCTACAAGAAGATCTCGTGACGCTTGGTCACCCTCTTGAAATTGCTGAACTTGCTCGACTTACCCTCACAAATACCCATGAAGTATTCCCGGACCTAAGTACAGAGTTGGTTGGAACAAGGATGAAGCCAGGGACTTTGAAGTCGGTCAAGTACGTGGCCGACTATTGTCGAGAGAACAGGAGGAGAATATGCGACTTCCGTCCAGTGCTAATGTGCCTCAAAGCGGTGGTAATGCTACATGCTCTCTAAATGGTCGATCTACTACAAATGCGGTTTTCCAGTTTTCGACTGGAGGAGATGCCTGCCACCACCACCACCCGTATCAAGGCAGATAGAGCCAGAGCCGCCGACGGTCAGTGAAAGAAGCTTTACCGCGACGACCGTGTGCGAAGTGTGGCAAACTGGGCCACTGGTATCGAGAATGCTGGCAGCAGGACGACCAGAACTCTAGTAGCCAGCTGAAGAACAGCGGTAGTCGCGGCTCGTCTAGACTAGGTGACGATCGTCGCGGTGTTCGAGGTGGTGGGCGGCATAGCAAGTCTGGTCTTAAGTCGTTTATAGCAAATATCGGTGGGGTTCTGTCGGTGGGAGGTCCTGATATAGTTGGACAGGGCTGCGACGGCGAACATCAGCAACGATCTCTCACAGCTCACGAAGATCTCGGCAATTCGGGAAGGCCTTGAAATGTTGTGCGCGAATGGAAATACTGTGGTCATTAATCAAGCTGGGACTGTGGAATTCGCGATCGTTAACGAGCTAACAGGACACCAGAGGAAGCGTATTTTTCCTGATGTGAACTATGTGCCAGATGTACCCGCTAACTTGCTCTCGCATGACAACATACACACACAACAGAACTACGTTGTCTCCATGCCTGCGGATCTGCTGTTTTGCTTCTTGATCTGAGAAGGAATGCGACTCAAGTTTGTAAAGGCTGGCGATTTGTATTGACTGTGGTCATCACGGCAGCACAGGAAGAAGCAATCTATTATCTATAGTGCAATAGGGAGCCCCATTAAGTCCGTACCTTTGGCTGTCTGGCACAAGCGATTCGTACATGCAAGCGGCTCGACGATCCGATACATGGACAAGAAGATAGCTGTTCACGGTCTGGATATTGCTGTTGGAAAGGGAGACACGTTATCCAGCTGTCTTCCGTGTGTTCGTGGCAAGAAGGTTCAAATGGCTTACCCAGAGTGGTTGATACATGCGACACACCCCTTAAAACGATTTCAAGTGAATGTTTGTTCGGTGAATGAGCTCACTATCGATGGGAGTACCGTTCTCTGGCTTGTAGTGATCGAATTCAGCAGATACAAGTGAATATATCTCTTGCGGCACATTAGTGACGCAAATTCACAAATCATCGCTCTTGTGAACCGCCTACATGTTAATTAAAGAGCTAAGAACTGGCGCGTTGAAGAAATACACTCGGATCAAGGGGGGGGAGGGGGGGGCATAACACCTGCCTTCAAGAATTCAGCGCTAAGGAGGGGGTTTATCTGTCGACAGCCAATGGCTACATTCCACAAGTAAGAGGTGTCGCTGAGCGTGCCAGCGGAATCGTTTTACGTAAGGTTCGAATTCTTCTTCATACGACTAACCTTCCGGAGTCGCTGTGGGTAGAGGCCGCGCAGCATGTTGTCTACACGCTGAACGTCACGGCGACGAGAGGCTTAGGAGGGGTGACACTACACGAAACGTTCTCCGGTCAGTTGCCTGATATTGCATGTTTAAGGACTTGGGGATGCCTGACCTACTACCACATTGCTAGTGCGCGATCCAAGAAAAAAAATTGTCGTTTAGAGTTGGAACTTCAATTCTCATCTGATAATTTCCTGCTACGTATGGTTATAAGATTTTGGATCTCTCAAGTGGAGCAGTTTCGACTCATCGTGGTGGAATCTTAACATTTCTAAAGACTACACAGTGGCGCGCAATTACATGATCATGCTATTGAGTAATGTTTACAATCACGGCGATCATGACCTTCCGGCGAGGGTATCGCTCGTACTAATGCAAATGAAGCTAGAGGATGCTGTACGGTTAGATTCAGAGACAGATAGTATATTCGTGCAGACCTACCAAGTTCAAGTTGTCGTGGAGCCGCCTGGTGCTACCACCCCTGCCAATCCGGCTCCTGTTGATCAGCCTGATATCAGTGTACTTCCACTGGAAGTTCCAGTGAGTTCTCCCGTTGTAAATGTTGCTGAAAGTGATACTATAAAGTTTCACGATTTGGAAGAAAGCGGAAAAGAAGTTCACGGTTGAATAATTTCAAGCTTTATCTCGCTGTCCACAAGGTGCTGAAGGTTTTGCAGAGCGAGTTACGACCAATTGGTGAATCGAAATTGCACTCTCGAGACGTACCAATTCCATCCACTTCAAAACCTAGCCATTCGCTCGAAATTTGCGTCGCAATGGTAGGTAGCCATGGACGAAAAGTTGGATTTGCTACGCAGACATGGTGTGTGGATAGATGCGGAGCGCTCGAATCTAGAGACGCACAGGTTATCAGGAACCAGTGTGTGTATACTGGGAAGAAGGACAAACAGGAATTCGTGAAGCGATTCAAGGCTCGGCCTGTCATTCATGGATTCAAGCAGAAATTTGGTATCAACTACAATAAACTTTTGCTCCGATGATTCGCTTTGACACGAATCGAGTGGCCATCTATTTCGCAGCTTAACGGCGGTGGGCTCTTTTCCAATACGATGTTAAATAGCCTTACTTCACGGGCAATTTGCAGAGCTAGTCTTCATGGAATTACCTTAAGGTTGTGGCTCGCCTGGAATCAGCTGATTTGTCAGCTGATCAAGACACTATATGGCTTGACAAGCCCAGCATGTCTGGAACAAGACGCTGCATCGACGTCTCGTTGCTCTTGGATATAATCGCTTAGAAATTTGTCCATGACCTTTATTCACTCGTCAAGAAGGGGGAGGTAGTCAGGATCTGACAGCTTACGTTGACGACCTGCTGCTTATGGAAGAATAAGCTCGGTGCGAAGCCATTACCCGAAAATCAGCAACCAGCTTTGAATTAATGGAGCTTGGACCAGTTCAGTTCCTATTGGGGATAGAAGTGAGAATCAATCGTGCAAGTGGCAGTGTATTTCTTCAGCCAGCTCAACCACGTCAACGAGGTGCTACGCAGATTTCATATACACGACTGTCATGGCGTCGTTACACCAGAAGCAACAGCAGTGGCCACTAACATCAAAGACTCGTCTACTGACATTTGTAATTTGCCATATCAAGAAGCTGTAGGAGCATTTCAGTATCTCGTCTCGGGATCTCGGCTGGATATTGCTCGCGCCGTCCGTCTCGGACAGTACATGTCGTGCTTCTGTGCGGTTCACTGTGCCCAAGTCAGGCGTGCACTGCGCTACTTGCAAGCTACTAAGAACTTTGGACTTTGTATGGTCATATCGAGCTCGACCAAGATGGTTTGCAACGTATCGAAGCCTACAGCGCTGTAGACTACTCCAAAGACAAGATCGATTGTCAGTCAGTCACCAAATATGTATCTATGCTCAATGACAGTGTCATTTCGTATGGCTCAAGGAAGCAGAGACTAAATGCTCAAAGTACCATAGAAGCCGAATATACTGCGATGAACGAAGGAGCGAGAGACATTATGCGACTGGGTGGTCTCTGTGATGTCTGTGATGAACTCAAGTGGAATTCCCTAAAATTTATTTCAGAGCTAATGAGGGATCCAGTTGGCGTTTCAATTTCCAAAACCAAATAATCTGGGTGTTGAAAAAATCAAACATATATGAGGATAAGTACTTTACCGGGAGACCAGTGCCATGATGGAGTGGACGTTTGTACCTGTGCCTGGCTTATAAACTATACAAATGTTACCTGGGTCGTCGCCCTCGCGA